AATGGAGCAACTGGACAACTTATGCAAATTGATTTATATTTCTTTCCAACAATTCTGTGGATTAAATTTTGAACCTTTGTTGGTTTGATAGCACGATCAAAAAGCCTCATCCTCTAGAAAGTTCTTGGACCAATTGAAAGTTCTAAATCTTTCAATATAAAAGAAATGAACAAATTTCAATTGAAGAAATCAGTTTCCAGTTGTTCCGGCTAAGGGAATAACTATTCATAAAAGTCAGGTGCCACATATAATAAAGTTGTAGTTCATACTGACCCAGAATGCCTAGAGCTTCAATATATGTCGCTTGTAGTCGAGCTACTTCTGCAGAAGGTCTATTCATCAGGAAATTTTATTCCTCTAACAAATTTTCTGAATCGGATCCCGTATTTAGGGAACTGAGGGAATTGAACACAAATAAAGCTTTGACAACAAGTTTCAATTTTATGATTCCCCGAACATCAGGACATCAAATTTTATTCCATAATGTTCAGAGTCGTCACGCTCACATTAATGATATAAAAAGCGACTGTTTGATGCTATCTTCAGATATTTTATGTTTTGTAGAAACTTGGAGTTATCCTTGCGAAAGTTTTGATATACCAGGATTTACTCCACCACGAGCTGAGGATAGATAGCACGGAAACAACCAACAGAAATAAACGGGGCATTATAATATATGCAAAGCATAGTATTGCTTGCTCTATAGAATCAAAGGCTGTAAAGAAAATTTATTCAGACCGCAAAGTTTTAGAAGCGGTTTTGTTTAAATGTTTCAATATTAATATTCTGGTTCTATATAGAAATTCAGCTTTCTCTGTCAGACAATTATTGGTAGAACTTCAGAAAGTCCTTACTTCTGAGTTAGGCAATCAAAATGTGCTAATTGTTGGAGATTTTAACATTTGTTTAATGTCTACAGGGACTGCAATAAGAAATCTGCTCCAACAAAAAAACTTTAGTTCCCTGCTTGGTGCAGAATATTCAACTACACCTGCCGGTACACAAATTGATTGGGCATTTTCAAACATGGATCCTTCCCGTGTAAATGCAATTACTTTTGAGACAGTACACAGCTATCATGACAGTATTTCTGTCTCTATTTCGAACTAAAGTTTTCAGACTTAGTGCAATAGTTCTTCATTTTTTTTTCCAAATATAATCGAATTAGAATGGTATAGGAATTTTGACAGTAGTTTTTAAGACAATTTTAAGAAAAAAATGTAAATAATCTAATTAAGAAAATTAAATATATATATTATATATAATTTGTTATTATATATGACATTATTGTATATATATATGATAGAAATTAAATAGTATAAAGAAAAAAGAAATATAATTTGGATATATGTATAAGAATCTCTACAAAAATGTATGTTTAATATTGTAAATATTATATACAAATTAATATAATAATATTATATCATTTTTGAAGTTGTTAATTTTTATTATTTTTAAGCTAAACATGTATAATAATATCGATATAATAAATAAAAAATGTTATTCATTGTTGAAAAACGATTTCTTTTCATACTCCTCAATACAGTTGTAATGCATTCAATATAAAATCAATTATAGGCGTATACAAAAAGCACAAGAACGATTTCTCATAATTTGAGTAAATTAAGTTTACAAATTGCTCTTATTATTTTCACTGTGAGTGAAAAGTAAATAACTAAGGCAACAGTTCCTACTTCTAATTATTAAAATATATAAAGAAGTATCAAACGAATATACCACTTAACTTTGCGAGAGTATAAAATGTTCGGTTACATCCGAACTTAGCCCTTCCTTATTGGTTTTATCATATATTCCTCATTTCAGTAAAATAATATAAATACTTCCGACACTAAGCAAAATATAGTAATGAAACTAAGTATGTCTACGACCTATGGCACTGGGAAACAGTAGTTTTGTTTTAAGAAGTTTCTTAGCCGATTTTATATGATTTTGCCACACTTATTCATAATCTGAAGTCAGTTTTTTTCTAGCAGCTCTAGTTTTCGAAATATGAACATATTACATTTTTACCCAAAAATACTACAATTTTTGAATTAAAGAATATATTGCTCTTACTGAAGATTGAAAAAAAACTTTTTTTTCTGTGATTTTCTTGGATGAGTAGAAACATCAGTGTGGCTCAGAATGCTCTAGCATCATATCAACGACGCTGGTATAGATCTTCTATGGTGCGAAAATCCTGATAAAGGCGTTCTCCTTGTTCTTCGCTTAAGGACCGTCAAAATACCAGCTTTAATTTTTTCTGTGCTCTATTTCGGAAATATTTTACTGATATATTTAAAACATTCCCAATCCTTGCTTAGAGGTTTTTCAAGCTGTTTTGTCAGACCTAACTTAAAATGAAGAGGGGGTAATATACCCGGTACTAACTGCTCCTCAAAAGCCAAACTTATTAAGTCCAGTGTCCTCCCTTGGCTCGGCTATCTCGTAAGCATATGAAATCGGGGTATTTGATATATCCTTCTTGTTGACCCAAAAAAAATTTAACATCCTAAGATCGACGCATATCAGTCTGTTATGTTCTATTTACTAATTTTTTCCATAACAAATAGACCTTTTTTATAGAATCAAACGCATCAAAACTATTTGGATCATTTAAACAAGTTCTTCTTAATGTAGACATAGCGGTTTATTTATGAAATTTAGTAATATTTTAAAATTAATTCAAGTAAGCCGAGTAACGATATTACGAAATTGCCTGTATCATTAAAACTAGAGATTTCTCCAATCTGTACATTTATATATAAATATTCGAAAAGTCGAAAAGCCAATATGATTCTGTTACATTATTGAATTGGATTGCAATTCTGATAGTTAAGCAAATCTGTATTGGTTCTATTATTAAAAGCGATTTTTATGAACGTGATTGAAAATATTCTTAAATACACTCGAATGTCTGTTGGGGACCCTTGGCATAATTTTATTATAATATTATATATAAAAACTTATATATAAAGTGTTTAGTTGATAATAAATCGTGAATGATTTTTCCGAGTTTTATTCTATTCTATTCATACTCCCGATAAAAAAAAAGTATTTTCATTTATTTCTATAAATATAAAAATATATCTAGCATTGTAAAAAACAGTACAAAAATTAAAACGCCTATGAGCGTCTATTTTGAATTTACGACGAACGGTGTGAAGTAAACTATGAACCAAACTGACAATAACGGGAATACTAGTTCAAAAGTATTTGTTTAACTCTAAAGAAGGTAATAAACCAATATACTGGAAAATGCTAAAACTGCATCAAATTTCGAAGATAATTACTTATATTCTTATTGAATAATGTTTCATCTCTAAACATGAGAAAAGGCCAATATTTCTAAACTTATTTTAAGAAAATTTTAAAATAACAAGTAAGGAAGGGCTAAGTTCGGATGTAACCGAACATTTTATACTATCGCAAAGTCAAATAGTATACTCGTTTGAGATTTCTTTGTGGGGGAAGTTTCCAGCATATTCCAGGCGGCGTGGCGCTATGTCGGTGTGTAGAAGCCAAAACTTCAACGCGATCACGTGTCAAGAGCGGTCTGGCTTGGCTGAGGTCAACCGCCATTAGTGCAGTGGCGTATAGAACTTCATTTGAGCGCTTGGCCAGCAGGGGCAGTAGGAAAGTCAACCATGGGATGAGTTGGTCTGCCTGCAGCAGCCTCGGTTGTGGGCGATGGTGGTGGTTCGAACCAGCGGGCGGCTGGTCCGGTCGTACCATTGGCGAGCTGCCTGCAAGAGCAGGAGGCGAGAGACACCGGCGGTTCGGCGCGCGGTGCTGCTGCGGCCAAGAGAACTTAGACGGTTGAAACTGCACCACCTCCTTATGGTATGCCTGACTTCGTCGCGTTCACCGACATTGCGGGTGTCGCCGCGACAGCTAACATGGGCTTGGCCTCTTGCAACTGCCGGCCCGGCATTGCGAAACAGCCCAGAACACCACCGCCAGAGATCGCACAGCAGCTCGTGGTGGTCGGTAGAGCCAAGGCCCCGGGATCCGCTGCCGGGGTTAGAATGCATCGCCCACTTTCTGGTACCTCTAGCAGTATATTGGAGTTCATCGTCATGCGGGGGCTGATGAGTCGCTGTGATTTAGAGGGCACACAGAATCATAGGTCGTGCGCATACCTCAATCTCAACCAATCAATCACCCCGTCAAAGGCTGCATTTGGAGGCAGGTGAAGACCAATCTGTTCTTATTGCCTGGTTCGTGACCGTGATGTGGTGTGGCTGTCATCCTGCACGCCAGCATAACGGCGTTGAGTTGTAATGCTCAATATTTTGATGAGGCCAATCCTCCATAAATTTACGAAACCTGCTCATGTACCTGATTAATATTTATATATTTTAGTTGTCTACATATTTTAACATGATGCTAGCAGGGCGATCGTCCTGAAAGAAATTTCACTATGATATACGGTGCCAGTATATAATTTTTAGGTGATACAAACAACCGTTAGGTGAACAAAACTATTATACTCTGTAGCAACAGGTTGCGAGAGTATAAAAATTTACGATGAAAGCTCAGCTCAATAATATTCTGGAGTACATTAGTAAAGCTTTTATTTGGATTTCCGTAGACTAAACAAGAGATAAGATAAGCGGACTTTATTCGACATATTTCGTGGTTAGTAGTTTATTAATTTTCAGCGGAACCTGGTTTTCGGAAATGGCTAAGCGTAGTTGTGTCTTACAATATGTAATAGTCATAAATTTATAAGAGAAACTTATGTAAATATTTATTCAACTATACTTCAAAATTATATTTATTTTAAGGCATTACATCGATTTATGTATAATAAGGGGAGCGAATTTTTAAAATAATTTAGATTAAAAATTTAATTCCGGTGTAGGGATTTAACTTTAGGTTCTCATTTTTTAATTTATATTTTTTAATCCAAGATGGTTGGGATTAAAAATTGAAATATATATTTTTTGATTTGAATGAACGCGAAAATATGTTAATTCTAAAACAAATTCTTTTTTTAATTCTTAATTATATGCTTGAGATTATTATTTTTCTTTTTTATTTTTAAATCCGGTATGCATATGATGATATGAAATAAAATCTTTTTCTTATTTTTGTTAATGTTTGAACCCAATGTATTAGGGATCACACCAAACTTTGTCAACACTCACGGCTTGCACAGTTAATAAAGCAACTGAAAATGCGCGTTTATTTAGTTACACAATTTATTTAATTTTTGCAATTTAATTAGTACGATTTTTACAATAAAATTCTAAACACATATATTTATAACAAGTGTTCAAAGACAAGGTACTTTTTTCAATATCCTTTTTGTGACAGATCGCGCGTGAGTCGTATCAAGCTGTCATGTTATTTTTGTTTAGTATTGTTTGCCATTTCATCGTAGAAAGACTTACGCTTGAAAAATGTTTACAAATTGTTCCACTTTATTACGAAACATTCATGTTCTGTAAAGAGCGCTTCGCTCAACTTAGGGTCAACATAATCGGCCTACTAAGCGTACTATTCGCAACACCATCACCTATCATGAGACTTAGCATTCATTATTACATATTATTCAGTGAAAAAAATTTAGTTGCCGTAGCTGAGAGTGTACACGAACAGTGTACAGTGATTCGATGCCGTTCCCAGCTACTCGGACTGACATATGGAATGACTTGGCGCTTTTAACGTCGAGATCTTAAATTGAAAGCGTACAAAATACAGTTTGTACAAGAACTGAAACCGCTCGGCCCTCCCAAGCGACATCGCTTCGCTCTATGGGCTCTTGAAAAGTTCCAAGGAGATCCCTCGTTTTCGAGCCAAATTTTGTTCAGTGATGTCGCCCATTTTTGGCCAATGGATATGTGAATAAGCAATTGCCGCATTTGGGACGCAATCTGAAGAGATTCAAGAGCTACCATTTCAGTTGACTAATTCAAATGTTATCTCAATTCTTTTTTTATAATGCATTATTTTGCAACCCTGGGTATAATAATGAAGTTTAGTAAAGCGCTTTCTTTACTTACGCTTTTAGTTGAAAAGAATATTTTATCACTAAATTACCCTATGAATTGTAGGTTCAATTCAAGTACAGTCTTCTAAAACTGTATTGGAGCAGTAGAACGGAGAATGTATTTTTGTGTCTGTATTGTTCTTGAGGCTTTTTAATGTTCAATACCAGTACACTTGGTATTCTATTATTCGTGGGATCGAAATAAATATACTTTGTTAAAATTATTAAAAATATTCATACAAGACAATTATTAATTAATACTAAAGCACTTGTTCTTTACACTTGATTGTACTTACACTAAGGTCATTTAAGACCGTTTGCATCTCTATTTGCTTATTAATTACTCCAGAATAATAATCCTTAAAACTTTCCATATCAGTTATTGCTGCTTCGATTTTTGCTCCAAATGCGGCTATTATTTTTTCTTCTTTAGCAAAATTTTGTTGACCTTCTAGATTACTTTTATATTTGGTCAAATTCAATCGTAGTTTTTCTGTTGTACGTTCTATTTCATTCAACCGGATATTGATTGTAGTTTGATTTTTACTCAGTAAAGTGAATACTTCATGCCATTTCTGAAGAATATCGGGTAAATCTTTGTTCATTACGACAACTGTAAAATAAAATACAAATTAATTACATCAACGAAATAACAACGCATAAAAAAATGTATGCTATAGTGGAGAAAAATTCATCATAGTAAACTAACCCTCGATTTATTCAATCGTACGCATGATTAAACAAGTAAGGAAGGGCTTAGTTCGGGTGTAACCGAACAGTTTATACTCTTGCAATTTGCAAGGAGCAAGGTCGGCGAAATACTTATAGGTGTTGGCAAATCTTTATATTAAAAAATGATGCGAAAGAATGCAACATTCATTATTTGACGAAATCGTGAATGGATAATAATCAAAGTAGGTATCTATCGAAATCGTGAATGCATAACAATCAAATTAGGTATCTTATCAACTTATATTGAAGGTCATGTACTCATTAAGTTTTATTAATATATTTTAATCGTTTCAACGAAAATTATATTAAAATCATCCTTAATGAGAAATATATGATATACTTGTAAGCTCAGTCCAAGAGATTAAATTTAATATATGGTTGATGTAGAAAACGTCAACCATAAGATCGAAACTCTTTATATTAGGGCTTTGAGGTTTAGCCCAAGGTACAGACCAATTTCATTCATATTCAGTGATAAACCACATAATTTTCAAGGAAACTTGTCCATTTAATTTCATTAAAATATTAAACATTTTGACCAACATGAATGGTTTAAAGAAACATTTACATATGTTATATATGGGCAGAGAAAGGGGCGGGCTTGCATTGATTTGGATATTGCTCAGGTATCCTTGAGAACATATTTTTAAGCAATTTTAGGAATATATAACTCAGATACTGAACGACATATTCGTCATAAGGCTGGTTAGAAAAACGAAAATCATTATTTGTAGTATATGGAAGTCGTTGGCTTTTCACTAAGATAACTCACATATTGGCTTTCATTCGATTCAACCCATTTTTGACATACAGGCATACTGTTTTCAAGAGAGGATTAGTTCGGAATTTCAATAACATATTTCACTTTCGGTCACTGATTGACCGATATTTTCGATAAAATGTTCGCTGTAGGAACTGGGGTCCACATATTCGGTATCTGAGGGCTTGAACAGTTGTAGTTCGATTTGGACAATTTTTGATCACAAGATGGCATACTTTAAATACATTATTCACGCAAAGTTTTATCCCGATACATTTATTGTTGCTTGAATTGCATGCTGGAGAGTGAATGAAAAAGATGGAATTCAAAATTGTGTTATATGGGAAGTATTTTGACCCCGGCTCCTACAAAGCCGTCTCGTACCATCTCGGATGTAAAATTTAATGTCTCTGTTGTATTTATTTATTGATTTATCCCGCTTTAATACGTTATTAACAGAACCGTTATATGGGGAGGGGGTGAGCTTATATTCCGAATCCCTCCGAGGACGAATTTTGTTATTGCATCTTAAGTGGTTTAGGAAATATGTGCATTATACCTCTTAGAGGGCAAGGCAGGTCAATAATAGACGTGGCAGTGGTCCGGTTTCATTAAGGTGCTCTCACCTCAATATCGTGTATACAATAATAGTGTTAGTAAATCAGTGGTCCCAGAACATCTATTTACGAACTCCTACTCTTTGATACTAAGGAACGGACGGACAAACATACAGTCACCCGGATTACAGCTCGTCTCGTTATCCTGATCAATTATAAATATATAACCCCATATCTATCTCGATTAGTTTTAAGTGATGCAAACAACCATTAGTAGTTATTAAATATGTAGTTTTATGAAAATAAAAGAAAATAAATAGCCGACAGTAACATATATACAAAATAAAACATACGGACGAATAGAATATCCATTAGAAAATGCCTATAGTCGCATAAGACAAAGAAAGTTATTCTTCCTACGAATTCTTCTTAAAATTTAATAGAACGTCAGATATCCCCAACGTTTTATAACTTCCGCTAAGGGCTTTGGCGTGGAATATACAAACTAAGAGGTTTCTGTCGAAGAAATGTGAGCCCATTCTTCGTGCAGCACATCCTTGGGCATATCCTTTGAGGTAATTGTGCATTGACGGATTTTACATATATAAGCGCTATTTAGGATTAAAATCTGATGATTCTGATGGTGTTTGAAGCTGCTTGGCAACGTTGTAGAGTAACTAAAGCTGTGCTTCGGGTCGTTATCCTCTAGAAAATAGGAGTCACTTCCAACACTAAATTCTACCGCTCTTTGCTTCAAATTTATTTTTATGATATTAAGGTATGTACATTTAACCATGGTGGACTCTATAAATTCCATTTGGCCCACACAGTTACTAGCTATGTACCCCCATATCATTGCTTCTTCATCACCGTTCTGCACTGTATGTATTAAGATTTCCTTATCAAGTGCCGCGCCCGTTTTCCGCCATTAAATCTTACGCCCCTTGATTCCAAAGAAGCATAACATGTTCTCATGGGAAAAATAACTTTCTGCCAAAACTCCCCGGACTTATTTATGTGCTCTTCCGCGACAACATTATGCACTTGTACTATGTTCGCACCGACACAAAGTTCGTGTTTTCATAGACAAAAGAAGTTTTCACGCGAAAACTTGTGTTTTCATCCATACAAAATCTGTCAAACGAAAACACAGTTTTCGCTAAAAACCCCTTGAAAACTTACATTCCACTCATTATAATCGGTGCCTGCTCTAGTTTAATCGATATTATTGGAAGACATATTTTGACATCCCTAAATGTCAGTTGACAATTTGTTTACATTCCATAATTGGCCTAAACGTACTCTACAATAAACTGCTGATGGGTTCACCAATACACTCAGAACTATCCACTGATTGGAGAAAGACATACGCAGAGCTATTGAGAGGAGGAGATGGCATCAAGTGAAAATTTATTTTTATATTTTCATATTTTATTATATTTTTTGTTGCATTCCTTTTTGTATTTAAGTATATTGTTATAACTAATTTTGATTAAAAGTTTGAAATTTATTAAAGAAATAAAAATTACATTATCTACTGCGCAAAATAATTGTTCACTTCTGATAGCGTTTCAGTCATAACTGACAATTTTCAGCTATGACGGATTTATGGTCAGCAATGACTCAAAAAAAAACAAAACAAACAAACAAAAAGAAAACAAGGCTCTTAAGAAAATGAAAAAAACTTAGTTCTGCGCGCTGACAAAATTTTTTCAGCTATGACTGTCATATTACCCATCAGATGACCGTCCCTGTTCCTGTAGGGTACATAACAAATGTAAACAAATAGATGTGTGAACTGTCAATGAAAACTCATTGGAAACGCACAATGTTGGTCAGAACGACTTTGGTTCCACAATCCACAAATTGTGTTTTCAAGAAGATTTCAATTAGGTGCGAACATAGTATTACCTTACATTGCAAAACGTTACGAGTTTCACGCTGTGCTAGTACTTTTGGCCGCCCTGGACACGCCGAGATACAAAAACGCTAGTATGTTTGTAATTTGTTATTACTATTTGTATGAAAGACTGTGTTCTTCCAACAATTCGACCGATTTCAGGGAATATTTTTCCTTCTTCGAAAAGTTTATCCATTATTTCCCTTTCAGAGGGGCTTATTTCTTTTCTTTTAGGCGAGAATCGATATTCTAAATTTGTTAACAAATTGAATCTTTTGCTACTTTTACGAACTCAAGTAAACCTACAACTTTACCCATTTGTGCTGCGCTGCAAAATTACTATTTTTTGTAAATTTGTCTATAAAACTATGGTGTCAAATCTTGATTGGTTTAAATGATATATAAATAAATAATAAATGCTATAATATAAAGTTTGCATTTTATATAAAGTTATTTTTTAACGAACAAAAAAAAGATATAAGCGTGTACGCAGACTATTTGGCGATTGTATGTATATTATTATTAATTAATATTATAAGTCGTAGGCTCACGTTTCATTACTACATTTTGCTTCGAGCATCCGAATTAACTTAAATAAAATATAAGTATGTAATATAAAATCTTAGTCCCTTTAAGTTTAATATATGAGGATATGAGGTTTTGGTAAGGTATATACCAATTCGATTCCCTAAACCACATTATTTTTAAAAAACTACTAATCTCTCTATTTTATTAAAATGTCAAGCACACATTTTTATCTAGATATCTTACATATCGGCCGATTTATATGGTTCAGTATAAAGCCAACCAGACATTCAAAAATCTTTCTATTAGGTATATAAAAGCTAGAGAAAGTATTGACCGATGTTTTCCATTCTTAGCATCCGATATATGATTCCCAAAAAAATGCTATCTGACTTTTATCAAGGATCCTCACAGATTTACCGATATTTTAGGTAAAATGTCAGCAATAAGTACTGGATCCGCATATTCGGTATCTGGGACTTGAAAAGTTATGATCCAATTTCAACTATTTTTTGTCATGAAATCGCACTGCTTAGATACACTTTGTATGCAATGTTTTATGTCGAAATCGTTATATTCCATCGTTTTATCTTAGTTATTAACTAATATAATATAGAGGACAAAATTGATTGTTAGTATGGATTGAATAGGCTCCGAACTATTTGAAAAAATATTTCACCGTAGGGAAGCTGCACTGTCTCCGGTGAACATAGACTGTATTATATTTTCAAAAAAGTTAGGATCCTTACAAAAATGCCAAATATGTTACCCAAGGTGTAAAAAATTACTTAAAAAATTCCTTACATAGCATGCACTGTGAATACTATTGATTATAGAACAAAAGAATGTACTACGTAATGTAATGTATGTTTACAGAACATATGCATGTCACAATAAGCGTGCTTTTATTATAAAAAAAACAAAATAATTAGAATGCCGCCTCTGTAAAAGCTCTTTATAATAGTGATTCAATACCTTTACATAATTTTTTAAATTATGAATGAAAAAGTTGTGTGGTCGCTGCCCCGCTGGGCTAAGCTGCAACATAATATGCGATGTAGGCGTCATTGGGGCACGTCAAGAAGAAGCGGTTGTGTGCAGAATTGATTATAACTAATATAAGGATTCTCAAAGACCCG